TGAATGAAATTGCTTGCAATTTCGATATTTCTAGCCAACTATGCGACAGGCATCTACCAAAGTCACAAAATTTTCTTTGTCCATGCAAATAAGGTAAATAATAGGTGCAGTTATATAACTGATACTCATTGATCAATCAAGTGGTAACAATCTTTTTTTGTGGATTATAATCGGACTATTTGAATATTACTTTATTATTTATCATCGATAATAATTTATATTGCATTAATTTTTATCACCAAAACATTCTATTTTTGCATATTTTATATCGACTAATGTGTTTACATATTATTTATAATTTTTATTATGGATTTAACAAAAATTTTTTAATATAATATAAATATAATATAATATAATATAATAAATATTAATATCAATTATAATGTTATTTATCCTATAAATATAATAATTTTTATCAATTTTCGCAAAAAATTGTTCGTACAATGTTTTAATTTCAATTATATATGCCTCGTGCTGAATGAATGGATATTCTCATGAAAATTTGAAGATTTAAATGAAATAAATCGCTTGGCAGGCAGATGACTGCTCACAGTAAAGAGAGAGGGAATTTATAAGAATATTGTTTATCCGCCGTTCACTTTTTATCCTATGCAGTTTATCCATATTTATATTGTTAAAAAATAAATGTTCAATTGATATCGGATGTGTTGCAGGAGAGCACTGCAGAAGAATTTTAAAAAGAAAATTACTATATCGACCAGTGTAGCTTCTAAATCTCAGTTCTATTTGTTATTTGTAAAATAACAATTTCATGCCGAACTTCGATTAACTTTCAATAAATCTGTCTTTTTATGCGTTCATAGTCAATGCTCTTGACGCTGCTGTCAGTGATTTAAAATATTTCTCGAAAAATAAGACTCGTAGCAATTTTCAATCATTCAGGGGACTACAAAATATATTATATATGCACCAAGCCTTCGAATTATGAAAACTGACATAGTTTAATTTCATTGTTGTTTAGCTTTGTTGTTCTCATTTTAGAGCACCGTTCTATTATTTTTTTCTTAGCAAGAATAAGAATGTGTTTCGAAAATTTGGGTGATGTTAGCAGCTTAGTAATTAAATTCTAATTTCCATCACTAATTGTTTTCCTGGCAAAATTCGAAGGAATCGAAAGCCAACTGGGCCGTTGCTGTTCAGCTCCTCGATGAAGCTTAATGCATTGTCTTAATCCGAGGCTTTCTAGATTTTCGGTGGAAATCATTTTATCACCAATCCATGTGAATGCGAAAAATGTGAATTCCACACAATCATCCTATTTTCGTATGATCTAAACAGAACTGGAAAAATCTAAAATTGTTCGGTTGATATAAAATAAAAAATTATATAAAATTATAATTTATAATTATAAATATAAATTAAAATATAAAATTTAAATTAAATTAAAAAATGATATTCAAATAATCCGATTAAAATATCACGATAAAATTTTTCTAGTGTAAAGAAAGCGATATTTTGATTAGTATTGCTCTGATTTTGAAAAATGGGTGTCCCATATGTGACTGTGGCTATCGCTTATCTTATTTACATGGGTAAGACATCTTACGTTTTTTATGGCCGTATTATTGTATGTATGTAACTAATTATCTAAAACTACCAAAATTGTTGGTAAACTTATTTAAAAAATTTCAGGAATAGTGATAATATTTATCTCAAAAGAGGAACGTTAGTCAACATTTACTTTTTTGCATATCGAAATAACGCCATTTGTGCATCTTTTTTTCGTTATTAGCACCGAAATTAGCGATTTATATTTTGTCACGTTTTAAGAGAAAATTGTATTTGTGAATTATAAAGAGTCGCAATTGCTGGATATTTCATCCCAAAAAATGATAATAATCATACATCATCAATGCTAGTCGTTTAAAAAATTGATTTCTAATGACTGTTTGAACTAAAGGTCCATTACCGGTTCCAAACTGTAATGTGGAGAACGCTCAAGAACGCGGCTTGCTGTTCGGCTACGAGCGCAAACGTCAATTATCCATGAGTGTTGATATTAATGAAGATGATTTAATGGTTATTATTTTTTTAGAATTCAGTGCAGCAAATTCTGAATAGGTTCGCCCTACAAGTATGAGACAAATTTGTCAGTAAATCACTGGCAATAAAGTCAATAGAATTTTTAAAATGGCTCCGAAATAAAAGCAAAAAATCATTCAATTATTCTATCACAATCCAGTACGAGAATTTAAAGCGAGGTGACATTAGATATTATATGCATCTTCCACAATGCATATTTATATTCTTCATATTTTACAAGCCATTACTGAATCCATATAAAAAACATAGAAACAAAGAAAATCGAGACTTAGAGACTATTTTAAAAATTATGAAATTATTGAATTTAGAAATGGAACTGTGAACTGGAAAAGAGAGCTGCTCAATATATTAAAAAATGTCGCATTGCGAAAATTCCAAGAACCAATGGAACACTCGTTGGGAGCGTTTACTCTCATTTCTTTAACGAATCAAGTAAGATTAAATCAGGGAGGAAGAAAATATATTTATTGATAAATTGTAGATTGCTTTTTATACCCAATATTATTTTAGTTTCATTATTTTATTATCTATATTATTGTTTTATTTTAAAATATTGAAAGAGATGCTTATCAATAAAAGAATCAGCAACGTCAGCAATTACAAAATTTTTTAACTATGTTTCTTCCAGTAGTTGACAAATTATTCCATCCAGCATTATATACAACTGCATACCATGAAAACGTTGGACTAAGCGATGTAAGTAATTGATGCAAAATAATTTAATTTGCCAGTAAATTGCTTACATAATGAAAAACTGTAACAATGCGAAAAACATTAAAAAAATATTTCAGGAAGAATGGAAGTATGTCGCTGAAGTTGGTTGCTCCCAAATTTTTTGTCGAATGACCCATGGAGATAATAAAGGAATGCTTGTGAAATTCGCTGCTTGCTTTTACAAACTTCGGTAAAGCTCTTCATTAAATGTTGTTAATATCAAGCAGAATTAAAAAAAAAAGATCGACAGGAAATTTTTTGTAGCTTTTTTGATATTTAGCAATTTTAGAGAACTGCTAAGCGATTTCTATTTATTTTTCATATTCATTTGTAATATAATAAAATATATATACTCCATCTTTTAAACGTAATAAATATTATTATTATTCTCTTTGATATAAATTTAGATCACCACTAACAGTCGGCATGGCTAATCAAAAATCGGCGATTCCACCAACAGCAACCACCGCACCAACAATCGCTGCGTTACCAGAATTAACAATAGTGCCTTTTACATTACCATTCACTGGTAAACTTCACATTAACCTAAAATCAGCATTAACTCTTTTGATTTAAATTCTAATAAATTATTCATTCACATTAGCACTTAGAAAGATTTTTTTCGAACCAATGTCTTTACCATTTTTCAAATTAATGAGGCTTAAAATATTTGCCAGATTTTTATCCCTTAGAGAATCTTCGCTGAAAGGTATCCGTTTAATTAGCCTAGTTTAAAAATTCGGAACTTTATATCACTGATTATTTATCTTTTAGAATGTTTGGATTCTGTAATTTCGACTAATACTAAAGATAAAATCATCAACCGATACAATTGGTTCCGAAAACTAATTAAATATGCCATCTCGGAAGCTGGTGGAATAATTTCTGACCAAACTGACGACATTGGATTTGTTAATTCTTTAACACATTTATTGATTTATTTCCTACATTTGAATACAAAATTTGACTTGAATTTTGATTCTCTTGCAAAAACTATTCCAACTTTCAAGGAAACTTTCCAATATCTTAAACGACTGTAGGTTACCGTGGCTAATTTACACTAATTTAAAATTTTAAACTTTAAATTTCCTTATAAAAATTAAGAAATGGAATTGCTTTTTGGAATTATCCGCAACGCAAAGTGCAAGACAATGCAATTTTACTCACTCGAAAGAACCTTCGCCTCTTGGCGAAAGTCGAAAAATTCTTTTGAGAAGCGATCGTCAAAAAATTTTTTGGGAAACCAGAAAATTATCGCCTAACGGTATTTTTTGTAATATTTGCAAGCCTTTATTTTAGCTTCATTCACATAAATTCACACAAAATGAAGTAATTTAACATTTTAGAATCATTAATATTAGAAGCAGTTGAGTCGTGGTGGAGCAGTGGGTCTTGGAGCCATTTCTCGTATTTCGAGCATTTATCGCCTCACGAATTATCGGAAAATTATGATTTCTTCACTCAGGTTAATGTTAATACATAATGGGTAGTGGACGTAGTGGACTTAGATTAAATTTCTAGAAATGCATTTCATATAATCAGTAACTTTATGAGTAAAATACTTTTTAAAGTTGGTGAATATGGAAACAACTTACATTGGCTGCGGAATTGGATATTGCCCTGCGCACCACATGGGACTGAACATGCATGCAATCGTGTGTCAATATTTTCCAGGGTACATTTGAGTTTGTTTTGATAAATTTATTAAATATAAAAAATATACGATTTGCATCTATAGAATTCAGCGGCTATATAAAAAAATGTCAAAAGCCGTTCAAAACTTTAAAAAATGAGAATATTATTTGAAACTACGAAATTCGAATGAAACAAAAAAAAATTGAATTGTAGAGTAAATTCATGGAATTCCAATAAATTGAACAAAGTGATCAGAAAACTGGAAAAATATTTTTATTATAAATGCACGATGAATTAATAATTTTCTTGATCATATTCTAATTAATATAAGCAATCTCCTTCAATCTGTCGAGGGTCGTTAGCAAAACGTTCGATAAAATAACTAAGAAGCGCTTAATATTTCTAATTAGCTGTAGTACAGCTGGAAATTTTAGCCAGATTTCACTTAGCTCTTGAAGTATAGATGAACCACCATCAGCACCACTTAGATGTTCTAATAATCGGTTCACTCCTGCTAAATGCAAAATCTAACATATTGCCTTTGTGCAGAACTATTGTTATATCTTCTGACAACATTAATTTGATAAGACTATAAACGAATTAACTGGTCATTTTTATATCGTGCAAAATGTCTTCAGTCGTTTTTTATTAGCGGATGGAATGAACCGATTCCCATATAGTGATTATTTAGCAATATCGTTCACAAATCTAGAAATTCTCTATCTTAAATCGGAAGATCGGAGTAATTAGTTTTTTTTTAGCAATTTCTCAGTGATTATAGGATTTAGTGCTTAATTTTATCGCTGTTGCAGAATTGAACGAAATTCAAGCAAATTTATGGAAATATGGAGAGTCTTGCGAACTTATGAAGAACAAATCCGTGATGTAATTCAAGAGCACTCGTGAAAAAATGAGATTTTCAAGAAATTTTTGAAACAAATTTCTCAAATAGCGCGAAAAAAATGATTTTAAAATTTTCTACTGAATAATTTGCACAATTTGCACAACTCGAAATATTCATTCGTTAAATGATTGCTTGCTTAAGATTCGAATATTGTGAAACAGACCTTATGTCGGAAAGGAATTCTCAAAGATAAGTCATTCTGCGACTGTTTTTTTAAATTTGATCGAGGAGTTATAAAGAATGAAAGGGTGTAAAGGATGCAAAGAGTGTTATGATATTCCTTCATTTTGATTGGTGAATACTGCTGAGGGTTTGATGGCAATTTTGGCAATTCTGGCGAGATATCCATTAGCCATAACAGCACAAAGTATCACACTTTCCCTTATCCTTATAAAATCAGATAGCCGATAGATTCAGCCATAACAGCGACAGAACCTAATGAATAAATGCAAAACTGCGCAATATATCGCTTTTTATTGTTAGTAAAATTTTATCGTAGCATAATATACGATTCTTCGAATATTGCAACAATACAATATTATTATCAATTATTTCATACATTAAAGCAGATTAACATTACATTAAATTTGCAAATTCTATATCATAAAACACTTCTGAATACAAAACGCTTCGAAAATATAATTCGAAACATCTAAAAAATTCAATAATGATAAAAAAATGATAAAAATGATCAATAGTTCAGCACTAATTTCATATAAAATTTTACAAAATAAAAATTTTGTATAAAAGAAATCAAAACCTAAATAATTTCACATAAATTTTATTTCGATTAAGTAAAAAATTTGTCGATTAATGAAGCAATAGAAATAAAATAAGAATTAAATATTTTAAAAATTTAGGAATTTTCAGAAATAATTCCTTCTGAATCGCCAAACAAAGAATTAAAAATATTTAGCAAAATATTACAAAAAACGGAATTTAAAAAATTGTTTTGAAGTTTTTAAAAATTAAAATCGACTTTTTTTCTCGTTTATTGGATTATAGACGATTTCATTTATTCACATTTTTTCGAATTTTTAATTTTTCCCGCTTTCTAAAATGATTTTCCAAAATTTTCTCGAATGATTATTACGATAGTTAACAACAAAAATGAATTTTTGTGCAAAAATAATCATTGCGATTTGAATTTTTTCAGATTTGCAATAAAATTTGCATTTGCAATATTAAAAATATTAAAAATAAAATTGTATTTACAAATGCGATTATGGTCGACAAATCAGAAATTTTCTTTTCTCAAAATTATCAAAA